AGTAATTTTATTTAGAATGACTCCAGTAACTTCTTGTGGGCCTGCTAGTGGGTTAGATTAGATGTAACTATAGATTTCCATAATTAATTGCTAATAGCATATTGGGAATCATATTCGGATGATGGTGATGTAGTGGGTTTGTGTAACCACTCGCAGTCAAGGGACAAGTGAATGAGAGAGAGAGACCCATATGCGTTTTTAACTGGGTTTCCATGTCACTTTCTAAATATGTTATTTTGGGTTCACTGTTGTGTCCATAGAGATTCAATATTATTTTTAATTATTTTCTTTTAAGTGATCTTGATTTAATTAAATTAGGAAAGAAAAATAGTGATCATATTTCAAAATTACAGGAAATTCTATATTACTCTGTGTAAGCATATTGAAATCAATTGTGATGAAATCCTGTTTTTTAGATACTGTTTAGATAATTTAACCAAATTAAAACTTGGAAAAAAAAAACAATTAATGGAGAGTACGGAAAAATTATTAAAGGTTTGACTCAAAAATGTTACAAGGATTTATATATAATATTAGAGCGTGTCCAGAATTTCTGTACTCCCACTAGTTGGGTCTTTAGGGTTTTGTTTTAAATTAAAAGTGTGTTCGGGAGTATTGCTTATGAATTTAAATTATTAATTAATAATGTCTATCATAATTCACCATAGTTAATAATGATGAGTTTGGATTAGTCGGAGGGCAGTCAAGGACCGACCCTATGATGACTCGTGGGTATGGTCAGGGACCTACCTATTTGGGAGTGCACTACCCTTTTGTTATGGCCATGGGTCTAATGAGCCCTTATTGTGTGGACGTGATCAGGGATCATCTGGGAAGTAGACGTACAATCCAGCCACACGTGTGTTTTTGGTAGTCAGGGACTATACGATTCACACCATTTTATTGGACGGGAGCCCGGGGCTCATGTGAGATATGCCGATTTATTAAAAATAAAAGATGGTTATTTATTAAGTTTATAATTAACTGGGTTATACACATTTGAATAATGAACTTATTTGAGTTGCTTATATATACAGGAATATAAGGTAAGGTTAATTTGCTGAACGATGATTGTGTTTAGCATTTATTGCTGAGCTTGTGAGCTCACCCCATTATCACATTTCAGGTACACGTTGAGTAGGAACGTGATGGGATTACATGATGGTGATGGATTTTGGCTTGTTTGTCGCATTCTTTGGTTTAGTTCAATTTTCGCATTGTAATAAGAATGACGATATTTTTTTTGAGAGTTAGTTCATTTTGTCCAGTTATCATGGATTATTTTTGACAAGGTTGTTTGATATTATGGTTGTATCGATTTAATAAATTAGAGGGTGGTTTTCATCCACTTCTTTATTTAATTATTTTTATTGTAAAGTTGTGGTTGTGTAAGGAAAGTCATGTCAAATCTTAATACGAGATAAGAGTTCATGTATTTAGGATTTTGGGGCATGACAACTTATCCTTGTCACTAGTGGTTTATTCAACGTTGATTGAACTCCTTGAGTTTTTAACCGGTTGAATATTTCGTATCAAATACTAACAATAAAATATTTTTGATACTTATTTAGGCTCGATTGTTTCAACGTAATATATGTGCTTACTCAAAATATATTTTCCTTTTTTGAATAAAATAATTTTTTATTTTTATTTTTTAGTATTTGACAAATGTCAACGTTGAGGTTAAGGTCGAGGTTGAATTCATGGAGTTGGATGTGTAAAATAACTTCTAAAAACTTGATGAATAACTTATTCTTGTTAGATTTAATTTAATAAAAAAAATAAAAATAAATAGTTTATATCCAAACAAATGAATATAGTAAAACATATTTCATAATACCGCGTTAAGAATTTTTTCTTCCCAAATGTCATCTTACCACTTACACTAGCTATCAAGGTTTGCTGCCTAGCGCCCAAATTTTTTACTATACACATTAAACATGATTGAAATAGGTAGATCAGGTTTAATGTGTTGAAGACAAATTTAATTGTGTTGAAAATTTTTACAGCACGAGTTGTGCACAGTAGAGGAACCAGGCTCACGAAGTTGTGCAGAGTGGAGAATCGAGGCTTCCGTGACCTACTGGTGTGTATATATATATATATATATATATATATATCAGTCAGTCTCAGTATATATATACATATTATATTAGCATGGGTGCCTCTTTGAGGATGACACCAACTAATCCATTAAATATTGTTGAGCTGAGCTTAAAAATCCAGTGGGTAACTTGTAACTCCTTGGCCTGTGATCTGGGAAGAAACAGTACTATTTCACTGGCCAAAAAATGCTTAGCAGCAGACCCTATTGGAGTAAGTTCCCTATAAACCCTATTTCTTAAAACAGTCTCTCTATGGGAGTCCCAAATCCTATGATTTGAGAGCACAAAATCAGCTTATTGAGTGAGCTAGGTTACATTGGTCAGGATTGTGGATGGGACATAACCTATGTAGGACACTCAACAACAAACACAACAACGTTAGTATCTGCGAACTCTCACCGTCACTCTCCTCGATATTAGTTGTGAAATAACTAATTATGTGTGTGTGTGTGTGTGTGTGTATTAGCTACCCTAGCTTGAGCTTCAGCTAATTAAGCAGCAAAATGCTATAGTAACATTTTCAAGCCCTAAGCAGACTAATAAGTACCGTCACTTGGTTAGCTTTTATATCTCGGAGAAGATTACTTTGTTTTAGAGACAGTTTGTTTTCTGGAATTATATGAAATTACTTTTTCAAGCTGACAATTATTATTATTATTTAAAAAAAAAAAATTTGGTTCCTTTCTGGGTTTCATGTGTAATAAAGTTAAAGACATTAAACATTGTTAAATTAAAAATAATAAAAAAAAAGATTTGTTTTATTGATTTGGGCTTCCAAATATTGCATTTTTCATCATCTTGAGCCCTGGACCCTGTAACCTGGTATAATGTTTGTAAAGTTTTTAGAGAAAGAACTTATAATAATTATAATAAATAAAATGACTTACAGAAGAAAAAAAAAAAAACTTATACAATAATAAAATGTAAGTAGATCGACTAGATAAGAGTTTAATGTATGCATGCATATTATTTTCTGTACAAAATTTTTATGTTACAATAGTGAAATTTATTATATTGGTGTCAGGATCATGAGCTAAAAAAGTGTGCATGTATACATGCATGTTTAATTACTTTTAAGTACTTTTATTTAGATTTCATAATCTATTTTTAGTTCCAAGAAAGCTAACAAAAAAAAACGATGAAAAGATTTCAAGATTCAAATTCTCCATTTGGTTGGGAAATGTGAAAAATAAAATCAGTTGAATTCATTATAATTTTCATATGGTGAAAAAAAAAAATTATAGTTTTCATATTATTATTCATCATGAAAATTTCTTCATAGACTTCATATAAAGTTGTAGGTGTCACTTATTAGAAGTTGACATGGCACGTTGATAAGTCAATACGACCATAGCCAAATCCTCAGTGGTAATTTAAAAAGTCAAAAGTCACAAAGGACCAAGCTTCAAGCACTTTGAGCCCTGGCATCGCCTCAGGCCCATCAAGTCTCGAAAGATCGAACTTCGAGCACCCAAAGCCCTGGCATCGCTCCAGGCCCATCAAGCCTCGAAAGATCAAACTTCGAGCACTCCAAACCCTAGTATCGCTCCAGGTCCATCAAGTCTCGAAAGTTCAAACTTCGAGCACCCAAAGCCCTGGCATCGCTCCAGGCCCATCAAGCCTCGAAAGATCAAACTTCGAGCACCCTAAGTCCTGGTATCACTCCAGACCCATCAAGTCTCAAAGATCAAATTTCGAGCACTCTAAACCCTGGCATCGCTCCAGGTCCATCAAGCCTCGAGGAGCCGATCCTTGAGCACACTAAGCCCTGGCATTGCTCCAGGCCCATCAAGCCTCGAGCACCCTAAGCTCTGGCGCCGCTCCAGGCCCATCAAGCCTCGAGAGACCAACTCTCGAATACCTCGAGTCCTGGCGTTACACCAGACAATATCACTTTGAAGGACTGGAGCCCTAGGGGGCTTGTCATCAAGGGATTGCGTATAGCATGAAACGAAAGTAGGGTCTTCGCGGCTATAGGGAATCTACGTTTGGGAAACTTAGGAGAATCTTGGATTGGTGAATGAGAAGTCAAGAAGTGCCTTCGCTCTCAGCAAGGCTCGATTAACATGATGATAGGATTGTACATGTCATGACAGCAAACCTTAAAATCACATTTAATGCTGTGTCAAGCTTGACTAACCGACAGCCAAGCAACATTTAATGCCTTTGATTAAGGGAGAAGTGACATGGCAATGTAGGACAAAGCTCGAGGAAAGGATTGGATCCTTCAGACTCCTAAATCTCCAGGATTACTCACGTAATCCTGATCGAGAGTAATACATGAGAGGAACCATGCACAGAAGGGACCATTGGATAATAACCAATGGAATCCAGGTCTATAAATTGTACTGTCCTATGAAGGAATAAGCAACCCAGAAGAGAAAGCTGTCATAAGATACTGTATACTTGCCCTACCACCATCTTAATCTTGATAGTTAGTCTTCTTCTCCTCCTCCTACACTGAGCATCTACTCTGTTTTCCTTCATATTTGTATTTCTGATATCACCGTTACAGTATTGTTTACTATCTAATAAAAAAGAACCTCTACAATAGTTTCATTTTCTTTTTTCTTTTTCCATGCATGGTCTCATTAAAAAAAAGATAATAAAAGAAAGAAAAAGACCCTCATTGCTAATTTACTAATTTCTTCATTCTTTTGACATTTCCAACAATAAATATTCTTTAGTTATACCTCAAGTTTATATATATATATATATATTTCCTTTTCAAACCAAGAATGTAAATTTCAAGGTGAGAGTGAAAGGGTTGATCATGTGTAAACATAATATATATGTCCTGTCAAGGTCAACAGAGTCGGACATTACACGTTATCAGCATTAAGAAATCGAACCCATAGACATTTTCACCAATTTGGCGACCACTACTCTCACAAATCTAATCTAATCTAAGCTATCAAACAACTTCACTTTTGATGCCACTTTCCAAAAATAGTAACCACCCTTTCCTTTCTTCTTTCCTTCTTCCTCATTCCTTTCCTTTCATCACTCTGAGATCTAGGGTTTGTATTTGTGTTAATTAGTCTGTGGAGTTTCAACAAAAGAGAGAGAGAGACATGGGTCGTGGAAAGATTGAGATCAAGAAGATTGAGAACCCTACAAACAGACAGGTCACTTACTCCAAGCGAAGAAATGGCATTTTCAAGAAAGCTCAAGAACTCACTGTTCTCTGTGATGCCAAGGTCTCACTCATCATGTTCTCCAACACTGGCAAGTTGCATGAGTACACCAGTCCTGCCACTACGTATGTATATTATTTTCTCTTAGCTACATCCATCATAAATCTATCTGGATAAGTAAGACTCATAACTCTGTTAGGGACATGTTGTGCCTTGGACTCGAAATCTCAATTGAGTTCGAGATCTGTTAGGAATATGTAGTTGTGTTCTGTGTTGATTTTGTGGTTGAAAAAAAAAAAAAAGACCCTAACACACTTGCACTAATACTTAATTGCTGTTGTTGTTAATTAACCAGGACAAAAAAGATCTACGATCAATATCAGAGGACTGCAGGGATTGATCTATGGGTCACCCACTATGAGGTATATCTCTCTTTATATATATATATATAGACACACACGCACCCCATATTTGATTTGTGAGGTTATATATATATATATATATATAAATATATATTTATAACGAAATGTTAAGTGTACCTCTTGTACTAATCAACTTGTGCAGAGGATGCAAGAAAATTTGAAAAAACTGAAAGAGATCAACAATAAGCTGAGGAGAGAGATCAGGTAAAGCATAATATAACAAAAAGTGTTTTGTGTGTGTGTTTGTGTTTGTGTGTGAATCACTTGGTTTGATTAGCTAAAATTAGTGTTCGATCTACAAATGAAGCTATATATAGCTAAGGATGGTGTTGTGTTAACAGGCAGAGAATCGGCGAAGATCTGAATGATCTAAGCTATGATGAACTGAAAGGTCTCGAGCAAAGGATGTCTGTTTCTTTGGGAGTTGTGCGTGATCGGAAGGTTGTAGCTTCTATGATCTGACTTATTATTCCTCTTTATATAAGTGGTTAATTTAGTGTGGGGTGGTTAGATATATCAGTGAATGGCTAATCAGAGAATTTTGTGTGGTTTTAATTTTCCTTTTTCCTAGGATTTTATTATAGTTCTGAAATCATTGTAACTTGAATTCAGTATGCAAAACCATATCTTTTGGAGGAAATTATGAAAAAAAAAAAATCTTTTGAGAGGAAAAGGAAATTGATTAATATAAAAGAAGTTTTGAACTGCGCAACCAATTAAGTCTCCTTGTGTCTTATTGAGCATTAATATGCTATATATGTTACATATTTATGGGAAGCGTTCAAAGCTTGGGTAGTAGGGATGGCGATATATCCTGATCGTCTCGTTTGAAACGGTTATGAAAGTGGCTAAATGGTTATGTGGTGGGGATGGAGATTATGATGAAAGCCACATGATTATGGAGTGATAATAGGGAGTGGGCATCCCGTCCCGCCATGTTTATAGTAATAAATTACAATTTTATACTTATACTTTCTTTTATATTCAATAATATTAGATATATATTAACAAAATCTTAATTTATTTTATTCCAATCACTAAATGTTCTTTTCTATTATTTTTTATTTGAGAACTTCTATGTATTATTTTGATGTTTCTACAATAATATTAAGTCTAAAATTCCAATTGAAAAGTTGAATCTTATTTTTATTCGTATAAAAAAGAAGAATTATTACCATAGTTGAAAATTTATTTCATTATTTACTTTCGTTAGATTTGTAATTTAATTACAAAATTACTCTACAAAACCCTCCCTGTCCCGTTTAATAAACGATTTTAGAGCGGGAATGGGATAGCTATGATAAACGGGGATAAATTTAGACTTAAAAATGAGAAAGAAAGCGAGAAGAAGAACACAAAGAAAAATAGAATAATAGAAGAAAAAGTGGAGGCATGCATTCCCTAGAATGTATATGGTATTATTGAAAACTTGAGAGAAAATATTTATATTTTTCTTTTTGTATAACAATATATATATTTTTTGTCTTTATTTTTTTGAATGTAACATTGTCGCGTTCATATCTTATTCTTTTAAAATTTATCTTAAGGTCGTGTTTATATCACATTGCACTCATATCCAGGATAACCAGGTCCGCGTGTCCTAGACCTAACTTTATTTCATGTAATGAACTACTGCATAACCCAGCTAACCTAAGGCCTCTCTATACATCTCTCACAATTTAACCAACAATAATAATAAATAAATTTACGGTACCCAAAAAAGTAAAGTAATTAATAATAAGGTAATACATAAAACAATAATAATATTAAAAAATCTGTAGGCTCACTTTTTCCTGTCTAGCTTGTCTTTCATTTTTAGCACTCTATTGCTATCCTTGATGTCGTCAAAGTCAGTATTTTATGGCGATGGCGAAAAAAAGTAATTCTGCTTTTATAATGTCATTACTCGTAGAACTTATTAACTAATACTAATGCGAAAGTTGCATACTATTACTTGTTTAGGTTATTGAGTTTTCATATTGAATAATTTTGACTAACAGTCAAGAGCTTCATCACTTGTTTGCAGTTCCATGTGATCAAAACTCAGACTGATACCTGCAGGAAGAAGGTTAGTGAATTTACTTCAATTAATTAATTTAGTACTCGTCCCGTCCCAAAATAAGTAACTTTTTTTAATATTTAATATTTATTATATTAGCAATGAATGAATAACCAAATTTAAGCCAAAAAGGTTAAATTAGTAATATTATAAATAATAATACGTTGATGGATTAAAATGAAAAAGTGAACACTTATTTTGGAACTGAAGGAGTATGTCAATAATTTCAACACTCATTTTGTTTTTCATTTTGAATTATTTTTTGGACTATGTGATTGTAGGTAAAGAACTTGGAGGAACGATATGGAAGTCTCCTACTCGAATATGTAAGCATCAATCTTGAAGTTGTGCTTGATTTTTATTTATTTTTTATCGAAGAAACTATAATTTATGTCTTATATTCTACATGTTCATCAGTTGTTTAATTGCCTTTTCTTTTCTTTTCTTTTTTCTTTTAAAAAAAAAAAATCAAGGAAAGCAAATGGGAAGACATGCAGTATGGTTTAGTGGAAAATGAGGGAGGCAATGGAGGTGGATTTGGACTCAACGATCTTCGCCTTGGTTAAGAACTACTAATGCCAATTAATTACCCTAATTCAGATATGATGAACTTAATTTGCATTATGTTTCTTGTCAAGTTTAGACTGTTTTAAAGTTGGACATGTCCAAATCTATACTTTATTAATACGAAATGTGCTTGCTACTGTCACAATTTAGCACCAGAACAGCTTTTGGTGACTTCTTTCTTTGATGGTTAATTTCTGAAATGTTGTATTTTTTATTCTGTTATCTAAGAATCTCTTTTGATGTTTTGAATTTATATTTTGGTTATCTTTTCATGTTGTTAAAGTTTTCTCGAAAGAAACTGCAGTTACTTTTTATTAAATCATATTAATGTTACAGGTTGAATTTGTTTAACTAACCATGTTACACTTGTCGAGAGTTGACAACCGACTAGGGGACATGATGAGTGTGGGTGGAGCTCACCACGATAGCCCATACCTTACATCTCTAAGTTGGTTGTCAACTCTCAACAAATTTAGAGTTTTCCTTATTTCTTTGAGTCGGTTATTGGCTCTCAACAAGTTTAGAGTTTTTCTTATTTCTCTAAGTCGGTTGTCAACTCTCAACAAGTTTAGAGTTTTCCTTATTTCTCTAAGTCGGTTATTGACTCTCAACTAGTTTAGAGTTTTTCTTATTTCTTTAAGTCGGTTGTCGACTCTCAATAAATTTAGAGTTTTCCTTATTTCTCTAAATCGGTTGTTCACTCTCAACAAATTTAGAGTTTTTTTTATTTCACTGTAAGTTTGACGGTCTAGTTTTTTCTTTCTTATCCTAATTATATCATAATGGTTTTGTGGTCTCCACTTTTGTATAAATATTAAATAGCAAAAGAAACACATATATGCAACTGTAGCTGCTATAACCTGGAGAATAAGAGGCAATATGTTCATGCCCCCAATATTTTTCTTCAAGAATTTATTTATGATTACCTATCAAAGGATACTAATGGTAAGTTTGCAAGAGGAAAATTACATGTGGCCCCTTGGTCACCCAATTTTTTTTTTTTTTCAAAACCCTTATTTAGGATTTACATACTAATGGTTATTCACGGTGAGGTTGCCAAAAAAAAAAAAAATGATATGTAACTCATTCAAAGACCATTAAATCTTTTTAGTCTTTTTAAAATTGAAATTGAAAAAAAAAATAATAATTAAATGTCTCATTTATCAAATGTTAGTGGCTTTTATCTAGTCTTCATTTTCTAGTCTACTAATAATAGGAAAAAATAGGAAAAAAAATTCAGGAAAAAAAAAATACTACCTCCGTTCCTTATTAGTTTGTTCATCTTTGGTTTTATAACTTTTTAAGAGGACATGCAATTAATACATTATCCCCTTTTAAAATTATCAAATTGTCCTTTTTAATTTAAATATATACAGTTATAAAGTTTGAATTTTTTTAAAAAGATAAAGAATAATGATGGAAATATAAAGAAAAGATGCTTTGAATTTTCACAACTAATTTGGGACATGTAAAAAGAGAAAAATGGACTACCAATAAGAGATGGAGGGAGTAGAAAAAAACTATACTACCAATAAGAGACGGAGGGAGTAGAAAAAAACTATCATGGGTATGCCTTGGATAAGCTTGCTTCCTTGGATTGCAAGGCTGTGAGGTCAGTTTTGTAATCTATTTGTTTTAAGCATTCAAGCCCAGTGAGATTATATATATATATTCCTGAATTTCGGTAATATTATATTCAATATAAAATAAATGATGAACGATTTATCTGTCTTTAATTTGCCAGAGCCAACGAGACTATTCAAAATGTAGCCCAAAGACACCAAAAATACAGCGAAAAGGCCCAATCTAGCCACCCAAACACCCAAATCACTGGTTGATTGCAACTTAGAAGTGACCATACAAGGCATGCTTTGCTTTTTTGTACGTGGAGAGCATGAATCATTGAATCCTACATTTTATTAACTATGTTTAACTGCAAAAGAATAGGATAGTAATTAAATAATGAGTGAAATATATCCAGAGTTAGCTTTATTATATTTCCTATTTTTCTATTTTTTTTTTAAAGACAATTCATATTGGAGCTTAAAATTGAAGATGGCTGGCTATATGCTTCATATCATTTAAATTTATTTCATGTTTTCAAAGTAAATGAATAAAAGTAGAAAACATAAAATAGAGCTTCTTTACTGATTTTATGGCTATATTTGTTTCGACGTAAAATATTTTTTTTGGCTAAGAAGTTAACAACCGACTATTTACAATGTGAGGAGGGTCGACTTATGTTACCTATTTAAAAAAAAAAAAAAAAATTGATATTCATGCTTATTAATTAGGCCTATTTGTGAAGTTCCACTTCAATCATAATTATTTCATCTTTAATAAATAAACCTAACTAATAGACCTAAATATTATTTATTTATTTAAAAAAAAAAAAAATTAAGAAAGTACCAAAGCAACCAAAAATCCGGCGCAAAGCCGAACCAAATTACCTCCCAACACAAGAAGGCAATAAGGTGTAGACAAAGAAATAAAGGCCCTTGACGCCAATGGACCTCTAGTTCAATGGCATGATCTCTCTCCTCTGAGTCATATTGGGGACATACTGTGGATAATTAAGGTGCTCATTTTTTAAAAACAATACCAAATTAAAAAGAAAAAAAAGAAAAAAAAAAAGGAAGAGAATAGTGAGCACCTGAGTGTTCTTAACTACAAAATAAATAAAAATTAAAATATGTCATGTTTTGGAAAGATAAGGAGCATAGTTAAGTTTCCTTTTTAAAAAATAATAAACAAATGTAAAATAATAGGCTTAAAATTTAGTTGATTTGCCTTTTCTTTTTTGCTATTTTGTTGGGGAGTGGGGGTTTAGTGATTAGCCTTAAAATTATGGTGGAATATACGAATCCCCATTTTGTCACTTTCACTCAATATAGGTTATTAATCTCTCTTTTTCAAAGATAAAAAAAACTTCAATTATCTGCATGAACATGTTTTGTTAGATTAATTTACTCAAAAAAATAAGTTGAATGGCGAATTCTATCAAGTTAATCGCGGACTTGATAATTGTAAGTTTCACGAAATTTAATGTTAACTCAGTACACGATATTTAATATTTGCGAAATTTTAAAATAGTCCGTCGACTATCTCCTCAAATGTATAGCCCTCATACCATAACATAGCAATCTTACTCAGCCATTGCAGCAAATGTTTGAGAAAGCATAATTATATTCTAACCAAAATTAAACTTACTACAAACAAATTAGTTTTTTCAAAATTTTCTTTAACTTTCATTTTAAGAAAAATGATAATATAGCCCTGACACAAATTCCTGATCCGACTAATTATGTGAAGTAAGACGTGACGTCAACTATCATGATGATAAATAGCCCAATTTTGGGCTAATTTAACTCTTTTATGTGAAAATCTAATCTTTCGGAATACAATTTTCTAATTGATTTATGTGAGTGATACATATTTGAAAATTTTGAAAATTCAATTCTTAATTCTAAATGAATTAAACGTTTATTCAATTAAGTACGTTTGATAAGGCAATTTAAATATCAGTAAAAACCATAAGCGCAACTTAAAATGAAATAAATTTTTAAGTGATATAAATATCACTTATTACTGAATGCTAAATATAAAATTTTAAAAAAATTTTAAAAAATAATTATATTTTAATGACCACTTAGCATTTAAAATTTAACTCTAAAATTCTCAATTTTGACAAACCGTACAATATCAAAATGATAATGTCTAACTCAACTCTAATTGAATGGGTCGAACTTATGGAAAGAAAGAGTGAGAATATTAAAATATATATAATAAACAATAAGATATTAAATTATTAATCAATGTATATCTGTATAATCATTTACGCCTGTCAAGTTATAATTGGGCGAAATAAAGAGAGAGAGAGAGAATCTAAATAATTATAAGAAATAATAAAATATTAATCAAATGTATTTGTAGAATGTCTGGAAGACGTTACACTCGTTAGCGAGAGCTCCAATTTCAATCTCTCCGGTAATTTTCATGGAGATCACGGTGTTTTTGAACTCCAAACAGTAAATTATATTACTCAGAAGTACAAAATCATACATATATATCTATATACCTATATCTATATATATACAAATTAGGGTTTTAGGAGGAGCCCATGGCAGCAATTCCTCCCATCTCTACATGGATCCCTGAAGATGATCTCCTGTTGAAGAATGCTGTCGAGGTAACATATAATTCAATTTCATTTCTCATTCATTGCTACTTCATAATTCAGCTTTTACGATTCTTGATAATTGTTGTAGCGTTTAAATTTCTCCAAACGATGCTGTACTTTTTTGCTACAATCTTGTGTTTTCTGTGAAATTCGTTTTGTTTTTCGAACGATTGTTTCGGAATTGACTGCAATAGCTCAGTGTTAGCTACTTTCTAGTCTTTCAAACTCTCGAACTATTGATAAATGAATATTTAGTCCATTTGATCGCCATTTTCCTACAAGCTTTTGAACTACTAATTTCTCAAAATCCTAATTCCTTTTGATAATTGCCATAGATATGTGTTGTAAAATCGCCTCGGGATACACAGACACTTTGTGGATTGTGTTTCAGTGATAGGTTGATGAATGAATGAATGATCTGTAGACGGTAGAGCATGAGTAGATTTACCTACTGAAGAAAAAGAGTAGATTTGATTTTATTAATAATTTGAGAGACAAAAGCAATGAAATTGCTGCTTGGGAGATGAATGATCCTAATTATTCCATCATGAATTCATAAATGAAGTTATGTGATTTAAAATTTTTTTTTTTTTCTTCCTGAATCAAGTTATGTGAAATTTAGCAGCCTTATACTCTAAACTGCATGATTGCGTCTGAGCTTTCTGTTTGTGATGAAATTAAATGTTGTATACATATATGTATAGGAATGTGTATATGCATGTATTCTCAATTTACTTATCAAAAAAAAAAAAAAAGAAAAAAAAAATGTATGTATTCTCAATCATGGTGTATGTTATTAACTGTTGTAATGGAGGTAACTTTTGACACTAGGAAAGTTGTGGTTTACTAGGATTAAGCAGTGTTTCTCCGATTGACCTCGTCTCTTGTAAGTTAGATTTTGAGCTAAAGATAATAATTTCTACATTGTCGATTCATAAGAATAGATTCAGACTGTTGCTCTTCAAAACTATTAGGGTTCATTTAGATGAATGAATGGATTTGGGTTCACGTAGAAGATTGGCTATTACAATTGGATTGCGAAGTTTCAAGGTGATTTTAGATGAGAGTTATAGGAGAAAATGAGAAATATCTTACTGCAGTCAATGCGCAATTTGAATCTTTGTTGGCAAGATTTCAAATAAATTCTTACACCTTGTTATTTGAAATCCACACATATAATTCTCTCAAATCCATTCTTTTGAAATCCATCAAGCTATATTTCTTACATAATTGAACCTAAATCTATTCATTTGGAATCCTTCAACCCAAATGGAACCTTATGTGTGTAGGCAGCTGTATAATCCATTTCCTCCCTGTGATTTAGTAAATGATTTGTATGGCTGGTTTTTGTTAAGACTTTGATATAAACATAGACTGCTACGATTTTATGGGAGAACCTTCATTTCTGGTGGGAGCCATGACTTGGACATGCATATCATACTATATTAATAGAGCTACACACTTGTTGATAATACTTAATGCATAGTAAGCCTGGAAACTTACAGAGACAATGTCCATGACAAAAATATCGACCATGGACTTAAGATTGTAGGACTCAGAAACATTGCATTACAGCATCATGATGCTCAGTTGTATTGTTGTTTACTTGTCAGAGGTGAGATTGTTGTATGAATGCCAAAGTTTTTAGTTTGTTGAATTTACAAAAGCAGCAGAGGGTCAAGTTGCTAAAAGTTCAAATTTCATCCTCTTAACATTCTCATTTTCTTTGAATTCTGTACTTGACATTTTTTGTTCTTCTCTTTTTCATGTTTTGATTGTAATTTATGTTCTTCTCAATTTCATTTTCTTTCATTCATTCAATTTTTTTTTTGGTTGGGCTTCGTTGGTGGATCGTGGAAATGATGGGTATCCATGTGGATTAGGGGAAGAAAGGAAAAAGAAAGAAAGCACAAATCCTTTATATTTGCAAATTGTTTAAGCATTTTGTTTCACATATTATTATTAGATTTAAAATAGAAAATAGATTTTCTCTTTCTGCATCCCTTGTATGCTTTATGTTACCTGAATTCTTACTTTTAGTGGTTCCTCTATCTGTTGTTCCCTTTTGGCAGGCTGGGGCTTCCTTGGAAGCACTTGCTAAGGGGGCAGTGCAATTTTCTCGCAGATTTACCCTACAAGAACTGCGAGATCGGTGGCACTCTCTTCTCTACGATCCTGATATATCGGCTGAAGCTTCTGCTCGCATGGTTGAGCTTGAACGTTCTGCTTCCAATCTTTCATCAAAGCTTAATAGATTGGACAATTCTAAAGAGAATAAATATGTTCCTGAAAAGAGGAAAGTTAGCAGCATTCACAGACAATATTATGCCATGCGAAAGAGAATCCGAAGTGACTTTTTAGCCTCTACTGATATAGGTCTTCTTTCTGAGTCCAATCCTCATGACTGCGGTGGAAATGTAGGTGATTTTCAAGAGCATGTAAAACTTGGTAATGATCCTCTAATTGGAAATTGTATGCTTGGAGATTGTATTTCCAACCATTTTGGGGATCAAAAAACAGATTTTGATATCCCACGTGATGGTTTCCCACAAACAATGAGGGATATTGCTGCTGTCAATGCTGTTGGTAATAATGGTGATGCATTTCATACTGGAAACCCATACTCGCTTGAAGATAACAGAATTACGAGGAATGATTCTCTATTTAGATTTCCCAAAGGCGTTTCCTCCCTATCAATCAAAGTATCAGTTGCAAGTGATGGAAGGGAATCTATTCGGCACAATGATGCATACAATGATATTACGCATACCACTGAAAATGTTTTAGTTGACGTTGAAAAATGCTCAGGTGTTGAGGAAACCGGGCCATCACAAGGGCTGTCGGATGGAAAGCTACTTGAGGCTGATGTTTCAGGGACAAAACTCTTGTGTACTTTTAATTCGATAAATGATAGTCTCCAAAATGTTTGCTCTGAATTTGGAGAAAGACCGCAATTCAACTCCCCTGATTCAGATTACAATGCTTCATTGCACACAATGGGATATTCTTCTCCACTGCCTAGAGAGCCTCTCTGGAAAACAATGGTGGACATCTCAACTCCTGCTATGCCAGTTGATATGAACCTTGGAGATAAAAGTCAGTGTGTGCAACATATGTCAACACTTCCTGATAATGATGACAGTGAAAAGAAGAGCTATGATGTTGTGCATTCTGGGCCTTTACTGGGAGACAGACACAATGGTGATATATGTACTAATCCAGCTGCTATCTCAGATGGTGAAAATGTAGATATCTCTGATTCCCTTTTGAACTTCTCGATTGAGGATGGGATTCCTTTTGTGGATGCAGATGGGAAAGACATGATGGATAAATCTTGTTATGATAATTATAATTCACTGCCGTTAAATTCACCTAATGATATTTATGAGAATAATGTACCCGTTGTAAAACCTGAGGCATTGACAGTTTCAAGTACCTGCCTTGCAACTCCTGGTGGTGCATGTCCTGCAAAATCAGAAGTTATCTCTTCCCCATTACATTCTTTTCATGGTTATCAGCAAAGTGCTTGTCGTTCAGAAGTTAATGTGCCATCTACATCAGTGTTGTGCTCCAAGTCTCTTGAACTTAATGACATGGCTACGTACTGCACATTGAACACCGAAGACCCAGATATCCCATACAATGATGATATTTTCCTGCTTATACATCCATCTGCATCATTTACCTCTTCTGCAACAGCACCAATTACTGCAAATGCTTTTGACTTCACATCCTCGTTTGGAAGAGATAGAGAACGACCAAACTTGACAAAGAAAGGAGATGATCCTGCAACATCTTTTACATCATTAAAGATAATAGCACCAAACATGTTGCCAGAAACCGGTCCAGGCCACGCACTTACTGGTTGCGAGGTCAAATCTGAGTTGTCTGATCCTAACTATCTGGTTATGGTTCCCAGAAAAGCTAACAAAGCCCTCAATTCAATTCAGTGCAAATCAGCACAAGCAACTCCACGCTCTGCAAAGGATGGAACATTGGACAAAGAAGTTCTAAAAGTTGAATTGGGGGTACTCTGATTCTGAAAGGATATATACTTCAATTCCTAAAGCAGATTGTTCATTGTTGTGGTTATATTAAAATATTTCTGAGCTGCTTGTTTGTTGGAAACAGATGGTAGATGCCCCAGCTACTTTAAGGGAATTGCCGTTAAATGCAGAAGCAGCTTCCATGAAAATGACTCTTCCAGAATCAGTGGCGAAAATTTCAATATCAGAGCATGAAGAATATGAGAGTGATAATGATGTGCCTTATTTTTCTGATATTGAAGCAATGGTATATTATCAGAAATTTGTTGATTGGGTCTGAATCTCATCTGTGAACTATTTCTAGGTTTTGGTTTCTCTAATATCTTGATGCTTTCTTTCAGATTCTTGAAATGGACCTAGGCCCATACGACCAGGATTCGTATGTTAGCAGACAAGGTAATTCATTAGAGTTTAAGTTCAATATGTATTATACGACTTTGCTTCTGTGTATTAGATCATTCTGCATGCAATTGTTTCAAATGAGAAGATGAATCTTAAGGTGGAAGTTGTCTTACTTAAAAATTTTACCCTTTTAAACATTCATGCAGCTAATTTTTTCCTGCATATATGTTTTTCAGATGATATAGTTGGCTATGTATATAAATTTAATGACCTAAACATAAATTTCAAATCATTACTCATTGTGGACACCAATGGCTAAATTAGGATAACTACTTTATTGATTGAAAATATTAGTAGTTATATTAATGTTGGTGAAATTGTTATTAGACAATAGTCTCCTTATCATCTCAAGTTAAAAGAACTGATGTGTTAATTAAAGGAAGCAAGTCATTTCATTAAAGTGAAGAGCACATACATAACTGTTATACCATCTCAGTGGTTTAGTATACTAATTTGAGTTGGTTTTTTCACCAAATTTTCCAGTGCCTATGTATCAACACGAGGATTCGAGGAGGAAGATCATAAGGTTGGAACAATGTGCTCATGCTTCTTTGCATAGAGCCATGGCGTCTCGAGGTGCCCTTGCCATCTTTTATGGCCGCCAGTTGAAGCATTATATCAGGAAAACTGAGGTGATTTTCCAATTTGTGACCTTCTGATTGTTTTGCTTTCATCGGCAGATCCTTAAACACTGATAATACTCTTTTTTAGCTTTGGTTTGATGATACGTTATTTGTATTTCCTTTATATATATATATATATATATATATATATATATATATATTTGTTTTGCGCTTTTATACATTCCTGCTTATTTCTTGCCTATTGTATCATTTCATACTCTGTACCATTGTATCAGAAATGACTTCATTCCATGAGTTATGTTCCATCCAAAAGTTGTAGATTTTGAAAGGTTTTCTTTCTCCCAAATGTCTGGTTGAATCATGAATGGTGATAGTAGCTGGACAGTGATATGGGCGCAGGGTGTCCAAAAAGTCCATCTCATTCTGGAAAAGCTTTCATGTACACATCATTAATTGAAATTCTATCAAGTTTGTCGCGAATGGTGTACCAACCCTTCCTTTTGTTATTTCTGGTTAGCCAAAAGGCTCTAGCATTAATATAATTCAAAATTAGATCATTCAAGCGATCATTGAATTCAGTGGGTGCCTCAAGTTTTGTATCTCTTCCACTTTTTCTTTCTGCAGCACTTTCACCATATTGGAATCTCCCATTAGAAACCTTGTTTGATTATACAGCCCAAATGTTTTAAGGTGTTGCTATAGTTCTTTCTTTTTAGTATTTTCATTAGCCCCCTAAACAAAGCTTGCGATAGAAGACACCTTGCTAGTTTCTGCAGGAGAGGGCTTGTTCAGTGACAACAGGATCTTCAATTTATAGCACACTAAGATCCCAATTATGACCTACACCATTCGTGGATCAGTTTGTGCTAGACTCTTAGTCACTGGGGCATCCTCAAAAGCTACTATCTGCATTACATGGTCTGACCTTTGTTTCAAACTTTCAATCAAGCTCAACGTCGGAACTTTATTATCTCACAAGACCCTGCTTTTTATTTCAAGGGGTCTTTGAGGTCCTCTTAATATTCCAATGTGCAATGTTAATCTTGAATTAAGAGAAGGATTAGGAATTACCTCACTGCTGATCTCAGAATTCCCATTGGTAACACCCATGTTATCTGGACCTGGGTAAGTGTATCGGGTGCAGATATGTGTCCAAGTGTCAGACCTCCTTGAGTACCAAATCTTAGGATATGAGGATACGAGTCCAAAAGCTGGATACGGATACGTAGACATTTACTATGCATTTAAATACATGAATATACTAATTATTGTATAATGATTATTATACTATAATGTTTATGTTGTTATATATGAATGTACTAATTATTGCTCAAATTGAATGGGATGTCGTAAAAGAAAAGGATTTCCATCTATCTCATGGTTGGGTAACTTGTCTCTGCTATTAAATTTGAGTTTTTTCTTGTTCTACAATCATGCCATGCTATGGATCAGGGTGTCCCATTTGAGTTCGTGAGTTGGCAGTGGGCACATGTCGTGTACCCATACCCATATCGTGTTGTGTCAACATGGGTACGTGAAGGGAAATAGGAGAATCCATGTAACTGTGGGTAGTTACCATTTCTCTTCTTGTTCTGATGTAGGACAAGAGAGCAGCCTTAAATAGCTAAGAACTCAAAGAATTTAGAGTCTGAAAGTTCAAATGACTAGGGCTGAAATTTGGAGGTTTGATAGTAGAAATGTAGGAAATCAAGGAAAAGCTGCCTATTGGCATCACAACAACAGGGTCAGAGAAATTATGGTTCAAGAGAGATTATGGTTCAAGAGAGATAAAGGATTTGAAAATAAGAAAAAACCTATTGGCATCACACCAACAGAAAACAAAAACCTACTGGAATCACACCAACAGGTCCAGGTATCACACCTAGAGAAGGCCTCACACCCTCACAAATTGTGAATCACTCACAAAGAAATCTCAAAGATATTTTTATTCATTCCTTGACTGCCTCAGCAAGTTTACATCATACCCTTCTTATAGCAACTTATGACCCTCAGATTACCCGATGATTGAGGTAATCAAAAGTTGACTCTATAGCATAATAAAAGTAATCACCCCGTAATTGAGGTAATCAATATTTGACTCTAGCATAATAAAAGTAATTACTATGGACAGATGTAATTTGATCGAAATTGATGCAAGCTACCATAATTATGCAATTTGACCAAATTCCCCTAATTATGCAAGACTCCAAGTGGAAGCTAACCTAATTATGCAATTTGACCAAATCCCCCTAATTATGCAAGACTCCAAGTGGACCCATCGTCTAGCATGTGCCAAATTAAGGTTTGAGCCTTAGAACCCTCCTTGCCACGCCTTTTATATACCTTAAAAGGCTGCTGCCACTATTCTCTATCATGTTCTTCTTGCCACTACTGTTCCCACCTTGTTGATTAGTGCTAGAACTGTTTTCGGCCGCTTGAGAAGTACGATATGGGGGTTTACGCGTAGTGCATTAGCAACATCTGCTATACCAACAATTTGGTTTTTACTTCTTCCTACTCCCTTATCCATGTCTTGAATCTTTATCGTTTTAGTGAAGTTTTCTTCAGGAGTAGAGTTGGCTGCCAAAATAGTTGCTTGCAGCTTCTCAATACTCACATTCTAAATTTGTTTTAAAATTAATTGTCTACTGTTTTTCATATTAGAGATGGATTCTGCTTCTCCCATAGTTGTTAAAGGCTCAAGGCCCACTAACGCACCAAAGGTCTTTTGGAGCCTAATGCTTTGGTCGGTAGGAAGGAAGGAAGAGGGGTGGAGGGAAGATAGGAAGGAAGGAACAAACCTTATTCGTTCGGTAGAGAGGAGGCAAGTAGAGAAAGGATAATAGGATGGATGAGGCATCCTTCCTCCTTTACAAATTTTCATCCCTCCAAATATGGACTGAAAAACAATTTAAAACTCTCTCTCCCCTTTCCTCCTGACAAACACACTACTTTGTGAGTTTTTTCTCTTCTCTTCCATCCAACCGAACAAAAAGAGGGGAAGGACACAATTTCTTCTCTAGGGATGTCTCATTTACCCCTTCTTCTTTCCCTTCCATTCAAGATTTTTCATTCCTACTGAATGAAGCATAAGTGCAAAGCGCAATGTAAGGCACAAGCCTGATCGAAATAAGACGCGTGTGATCATAATGCATATTAAGTATAAGTATATAAAGAATAATTAAATTATGCAACACATACTTGTCAATATCAAAATAAGGAATATATATATTTTTTTGATAAGTAAAAATAATATTAAAAAATGGCGTTCAAAAAGAGAACGCGTCCCAATTACAAAAGTGGAACCGAAGCTAAGGCCCCAAAGAATCCAGAAAAGTAATTAAATCATATGAAGAAGAACAAAAGCTCCTCTTCACATAATTGAAGAGAGAACGAAGAATGTAAAGTTTGACCGTTTCCGTAGGCGAGTCTTTTCCTTCGAACATTCTGTTGTTTCTCTCCTTCCAAATGCACCACCATACGCAATGTGGTACAATTCTCCAGAAATCGCGAACGTCTCTTCTCACTCGACAACCTATCCAAATATGAATCAATTCCTTAGTAGATCGTGGCATAACCCAACACATGCCAAACAACCCAACAATAAGATTCCAACAGTCAATCGCCACAGGGCAATGCAAAAGGAGGTGATTAACGGACTCCTCATCATCCTTGCATAGACAACAGCGATTAACTATACAATTGCCCCTTTTTCTCAAATTATCAATTGTCAGAATCTTTCCCCACACAGCAGTCCAAACAAAGAAAGCCACCCTAGTTGGAGCCATAGACCGCCAAATAGTTTTCCACGGGCAGTCTCGATTAACAAAATTTGACAAACATAGGAACAAAGATCTAACTTCGAAACGACCATGAGAAGAGGGAACCCAACTTAAAACATCATTACCTCTGCCAACGCCCTCCTGTCGATACAGAAGATCCAAAAAAACGCATACCTCGTCCATCTCCCAATCCTGAAAAGAGCGCCGAAAATGCACATCCCATATAATCCCGCTGCTATCAAGCCGATAGCAGTCGACTATGTAGGCGTGTTTATTAACAGCAATACTATATAATCTTGGAAAAGTACGAGAAAGTGACTGATCCCCACACCAGAGATCTTCCCAAAACCGAATGAAAATAAGGAATATTTTCAACATATCAATTCAACAAATTAGCTAAATCAAGTAATCAACATACATAAATCTTTTCTATTTGCATGCGAATTCAATAAAATTAATGTACAATAAGAGCAATTCAAAGTATGCGATTAAAAAAGGGATTTTTGATATATCAGCTAAGAGGATCAGATAAATTAATACTCATAAATCATTTCATATGCTTTGGAAATGATTCAAAGTATGTGATTTAAAAAGGGATTTTCGCATCTCTCACAGAGGAAATCGCCCCTTTTCTTGAGCCGATCTCCAAGGTTAGAGCTGGATCTGATGTTCTCAATCCTTTGGAAATGACGGATAGGGGGCCTTGTTCACGCCGGTGATTCATAGTAAGGCTTTGCAAAGTCGCCGGAAGCAGGGTCAAGGACGAGTGCAATTCCACGCGCCGGAGGCGAGTGGAAAGGAACGCCTGGTCAGTGGGACACGTGGTTGGAGGACGGTTCCCTCCCGTTGTGGGTGGAATCCAGCTAAGGGTACACATGACTTGGCACGTGAGGCGGCATGGATTTTGAATTCCTCTTCTGACGAGCTTGCTTGGAAAGGGCCTAACCAACGTGGGCCTGTGAAGGTTGCTTTGAAGGTTGATGGCAGGGATATGGGCATTTTAGGCCCAATTCGTTTGGTTCTTCTGGATCTGGGCTTGAAGGTTCGTGGGCCATGAACAGGGCTGGACAGGTCAGGCCCATCGTTAAGCCCTTCTCTTTTTCTCGGTCTTCTCTTGCCAAGCCCAATCACTCTTTTTCTAGAGATGTTACCTGGGGCCAAATAGAAGTCTCTCTATTTCCATAAATGGGCTGCAGCCCAAGCCAACTTCTGGAATGGCTTCTAGGGGCGATTCTCACAAACCATTTGGTGCGATACAACCGAAGG